AAAAAAAAAAAAAGCCAGAAGTGGCACTGTGGCTCAAGTGGTAGAGCGCTCGCTTTGAGCTGAAGAGCTGAGGGACAGCACCCAGGCCCAGAGTTCAGGCCCCAATGACTGTCAAAAAATAAATAAATAAAATAAAACACAGAGAACACACTCAAAACCGACTTGATAGGGGTCGTGTACAAGATACCTCAAAAGAGCTTAGGGTTATATGTTCGTGTTTTTCTACACTTAGATGTCCTTCTTTCTACTCATTCATTCATTGTTTTTGTTGCTGATGTTGTTTTTGTTTTTGTTTTTTTTAGTGCTAGGCTTGGGATTTGAACTCAGGGTCTGGGTGCTGTCCCTGAGCTTTTGTGTTCAAGCCTAGCACTCTATGTCTTGAATCACAGCTCCACTTCTGGCTTTTTTTGTTTGTCTGTTTGTTGGTTGGTGGTTTATTGGAGAAAAGAGTCTCGCAGGCTTTCCTACCCAGGCTGGCTTCGAACCACAGTTCTCAGATCTCATTCTCCTGCGTAGCTATGATGACAGGTGTGAGCCACCGGCACCTGGCTATTTTTTTATTATTCAATTTTAATGAACTTTTTCAGCATTTCAAGAGATTGGGCTGGGCTGGGGGTTACAGTTTAATGTGTCTATCTAAGTGCCCGGGACTTCCTCTTCAGAATCAGCCCTCCATCATTCTCTCTATCCTGTCTTTCCAGACCCAGTTCCTATTTTCCACTTCCTTTACCACATATGTATGTGGAAAATTCCTGCCATATTTGTGCCCTAGGTTCTGTTTTCCATTCATCCACCCCTTTTCCTACTATCCTCATCTCCCCGTGCTCCCCAAGTCTCATTTTACCTTCTGGTATTCACTCTGTTCTTGGTTTGCTATACTGAACACATATGGCCTTTATCATGTGGGCGAAGGAGGAAATTTTACTTCAGAAATGAAGTCAGGAGGTAGTAGTGCATGCCTGTAATCCATCCACTGGAGGGGCAAGCGATAGAAGTTGTAGTTCATGTACAGCCAAATGAATAAAAAATAAATTAATAGGGCTGGGAAGGTGGCTCAGTGGTAGACTGCTTGCCTCGCATGCATGAGGCTCTGGGTTCGATTCCTCAGCACCACATAAGCAGAAAAAGCCAGAAGTGGCGCTGTGGCTCAAGTGGTAGAGCACCATCCTTGAGCTGAAGAGCCGAGGGACAGCGCCCAGGCCCAGAGTTCAAGCCCCAGGATACACACACACACACACACACACACACACACAGAGCTCAAGTGATAGAACACTTGCCTTGCTTAGCAAACTCCAAGGGCTGGAGTTCAGACTCCCGTCCTAGAAAAGGGAGGAAGAGGAAGGGAAGGAGAAGACATGATGAAACAGTCCTCATGAAGAAATCATTGTGACTCAGGTATTGTTTTTATTTGTACCATCGTACCAGGCAAGTGTTTCTTAATGCAGTTAAGCCTTCTTCGCCCCACAGTGTAGCAAGAGAGCCTCGTACAAGAAACAGCCGACCTTCAGCTGCTCCCCCATGCCGATTTCCTCCCACCCATGTGGTACGCAG